TTTCTTTATAATTATTTGTGAAATGTACCTATTTATTCATTATTTACAATTTTGATGTGAAAATTGTTTCAAAGTAAATCCTAAGCCAATTTTTTATTCAGTGATTCAGCCAGCAGAAAGAGTATATCTTGATAAATGCCCATATAAATCAAAATTAAGAACATAATCGAATCAATGAATCAGCCTTAGCAGTAATGCAATTATATTCTCTATAAGTAATCTTCCCTAGTACAGTCTTTGTGTTTCATAGGTCTTACCAGGTGGTGTTGCCATCCTGCAAGCAGAGGTGGCATGTGCCACCCGATTGGGGGAAGTGGCGCTTTGCCACGGCCAGCCATGCCATGTTCACTGAAGGATGTTTGAGATGGTGTGTGTGTATGTGGTCCATGGTCCATTAACAGAAGGATTGATTTGACACCAGCCCCGTCCCCCTGTTTGTGTGATCGTGTGTGTGTGTGTGTGTGGGACAGGCGACTCCCTTCAGCAGGACAGATTGCTTTGCTGGTCTATGGCGGTGACACCTGCCTCTTGCCAAAACAGACCCACTGCTCACTGAGGACCTGCTGAGAACCGTGTCTGTCTGCCCTGGCAGCTGCTCCTATTGGCTGCCTGCCACAAGCTCCGCCTACTTTCCACACCATCTTGAGGTGGTAGAGGTTGGGAGGGACTTCCCATAATCCCCATTTGACTGACAGCGGGAGAAGGCCGCTCCCAGAGGGGCATCACTGCCGAGGGAACAGTAGCCAGATCAACATGGAAAGTGAAGTGGCACACAGGCGAACACTGGCTATGTTCAGAATAGCACACTACCATATTTTGCATACTAATTTTGAAGTATGCAAAATATGTACATTTTCTTTGTGTGTAACACCCGTAAGAACTTTTTTTTTTTTTCCTGTGACACGAATGAACCAGAAGTAAGTTTTAGATTTTTAAAACATTCTTAACACTAAGAAAAAAAAAATGTAAGAACTGTTCACTGAAAGGTTCTTTGGCGAACCAAATATGGTTCTTTTATGGAGTGTAAGTGCAGTGTGCAGTAAGTGATATGCTAGTATTCTGAACATATTCACACTGAACATTTTTCAGTTTCTTTCAAAATAAATTGTTTGGGCACAATCAAAGACGGCCCTGATAAGACGTGAGAAATCACAAACAGAATCTGAGAGTTGTTTATTTATTTATTTTTAAATCGTGTTAATTCGTTTCACTCAGCACTGCGCTAATGTAATCTCCAGAACAGCAGTGTTTCTGACAGGTTTTAAGGCAGATTGTGATCTGTGCGCTACACAAGGACAGTTGCAAAGAATGTAAATTACATTTCATTACTCTGGGTTAATAAACCCCAAGAGGTAATTGGGCATGCAAATTATGTTGAAAACACTTTTTTGAATAACGGTTTATGCTTTTAAAGGTCTAGTTCACCCAAAGAAATCTTATAATTCAGCAAATATTAGTATGAATTTCAGTATGTTCCTCACACAAATGTATCATATGACTTAAAAAAAAAAACATAATAGCCATATAATATATAATATTAAAATGCTTATATAGCGCACAAGTCATGTGGGCTACTTGTATGGTTTGACAGCATCCATCTTTTTCACTTTCATTGTTTTGAAAAGTGTAGTATGAATAATCCTTCCACAAAAAAAAAAGTATATATTTGGAACAACATGAGGAGTAGAGGAGTTTGTCAGAATAGATTTGGAGTAATTTAGCATTCCATCACTTGCTCACCAATGGATCCTCTGCAGTGAATGGGTGCCGTCAGAATGAGAGTCCAAACAGATGATAAAAACATCACAATAATCCACACCACTCCAGTTCATCGATTAATGACTTTTGAAGTGAAAAGCTGCATTTTGTAAGAAACAAATCCATCATTAAGATGTTTTTAACTTCAAACTGTTGCTTCCTGCTGAAATACGAGTCCTCTTCCATAATATTTTCCAGTAAAAAAGCAATCTTGTCTGAATTGGGAGAGAAACGCTGTTTGCAAGCAAAAATGGTCCACACATTCTAAACGCGAATATTGGATTTTGATGTGAGAGGACAGCAGGAGATGGACCTTTTCACTGGAGGAATCGTTATTATGGACTTGGACCAGAAATTTTGCATTTAATTCTTACAAACACGCAACGTTTCACTTCACAAGACATTAATTGATGGACTGGAGTTGTGTGGATTACTTGTATGTTATTGCGATGTTTTTATCATCTGTTTGGACTCTCCTTCTGACGGCACCCATTCACTGCAGAGGACCCATTGGTGAGCAAGTGATGTAATGCTACATGTCTCCAAATCTGTTCCAATGAAGAAAAAATCCTCCACGTCTTGGATTTTCATTTTTGGGTGAACTATTCCATTAAAATGAAAAAAGAACAGCAGATTCCATCATAAGCGCAAATATTGTTTGCCCGATGCCCTAAATGACACTCACTGTGTTTATTTATTTATGGCCCAGTGGTGAGGTCATGATCACGTGTTTGTAAGAGTCTTCATAATTTATATCTCAAAGCACTAGTGCTCGTCACGCTTGTTTTATGGCTGAGGTGATGTTAGGTGCAGACTCTTTTCATTTCTGCTCATTCGCCACCATGAGGATGACACATATTTAGACATACCGTCTTTTGTAAATTACAGACAACATGCCAAATCCTCCTGCATGCCCCTTCACGTCACTCATGCACGCTCTGAACCTGAATTATTAATATCACTGTTATTTTTTTCCATGGTTATTATTATGTTGCAGTTGTTAAGAAACAGATTTTGCCTTTGGCCATCACAGTAGGGGTTTTCATGTGTAGTGTGGGCTTTCAGCGTCGTGCTGCTGTGAATTTTGATGAGACCTTGAAAACTAAATTTTCTCTCATTAAGAGACTCTAAAAAGTCTCATTTTTAGTACGTTTTGCTTTCACTCACAACACAAACAGAAAACAAAGACTGTGATAAAACAGAGACAAAGACAAATGTGACAAATCATATATACACTATAAAAGTATTCAGGCAGGTAATGTAGGGACAAACTGTAAATATGTAAATATTTAAGTCCTTTGTATTTATACATGTACATGTGTATATGTAATGCATTTGTGCATTTAATTGTGTTTTATATTTTATAAAACTAATATTTTATATTACTAAGATATATAAGATAATGTGTATATATATACTGTGTATACTGTGTATATATATATAGGATAGTATATATTTAGGATATATTTAGATAATAATTTAGGATAGTTATGAGTGAGAACTGTTTGATCCAGTGTTATTGCTTACCAGTGTATTATACTGTATGCTTTAGTGTTTGAACAGATGCAGACACTGGGGTGACAGACATTATGGCATCAATATAAACATATAAATCTTATTTGTTGCAGTTTATAACAGACTACACTTGAAATGAATCTGAATCTAATTTCAGTTTCACACTCAAGGCTTCATCCTTGTTTTCTTTGTCTTTTCATTGTCTTATTGTATATCATGGCACATTTTAATGTAAGCCGGCTGATGAGTGCAAACTAAAATCCAATGAAAGCGCATCAGTTCTGCTCAGAGACATTAACTGACAGGCACATTAGTTTCTAGCGTGTGTGAAGTAGTGCTGTTTTTTTTTTTTTTTTCTTTTTCCCTGTATTTCTCAAAGTATTCTTTACCTTTCATCTCTTCCAAATTAAAAGGAAGCTTTCTGCTTTCTTATTTTTTGAAGTACAAAGGAGGCCAGGTTTTAATGGTTAACATGAAACACATGAAACAAACTCATTTTACCTGCATAATATGATTGTATTTTTGAAAAAACAAGGTAATCAATGAGAAATGATCTGATTCTGATTTGATCTATCAGAAACTGAGTGGAGCTTGAAAAGTATAAAGAAAGTAAGTCAGTTTTGATGTCATGTTGACCTAAAAGCTGCTTTATTAAAGCAACTGGATGCAAGTTTTGACCTTGAAATATCAATTTTAAAGTCTGATGGTACACTGACTTCTAAAAAGGCGAATGGCTTGTTTCTTTACCACATTTCCCCCCAAAAATGTCTGATCTGGGAGTAAGTTAGTGTGAATGGCTATGAAATTTTGCAAAAAGGGTGGATTGTTTTACTGCAACAACAAATGCATGAGTACAGCTATTCACTGTAATTACAACAGTGATATATTTACCACAGTGAATTTCACTCACTTAATTGCAGGCTCCAAAGTCGCAAAAATACACAAAACTACTTACAGTTGCTTTAAATTTCTTCATTGCTAACTGCACTGTATCATATTGAATAGAAACCTTTAAATATTAGTAGAAATTTTTGACAAAAATTAAATGGTGTGCTATTTCTTTATTTTAAAGACGGTTATGATAACAGGGTGAATTATTTAGCCAATTATAATCTACCACTTTCTCTCTACACACATACAGTACACACATTTTCTCGCTCTCAGTTGGTGAGGTGTTGGAGTTTAGAAAGAGATCTCAACAGGAACACATTACTGTCTCGTCTGCTCCTAAATGTCCTCTCTGATGGCATCAGTGCTCGTCTGCGGATCTTCAAAGAGGCTTATTTTACTAAACCAAGATTTTTTTCCTCCCCAAAAAAGGAAAGCGTTTTTACTCCGAGGCCCCATTTAATAGAGGTCTCAGTTAAAGTTTGTTTGAATATCAACTTGGTCTCAAATGTTTCTCAGATACTATAGCTCACATTATTTGGTTTTGAAAGACTTGTGATTCTAGACTTTTTGGTCAATTTGAGCATAGTTTGAGACATCTTTTAGATCTCTTCTAAAACTCTTAAGGAGAAAAATGAGCAATTTCTTTCCACTCTCTGAATTATCTGATGGACTTAAGCAAAGGATGATGGAGAAATGTGGTCTCATTGCAAGAGAAACAATTGAGATATTAACAAGCTCTCATTTGTGATTTTTGTTTTGTTTTTGAATATTGTCTGTAGTGTAATTAAATCTGTAATGAAAAAAAAAAATCAACCAAATCTCTCTCTGTCTGGCAGGAGCTGTCTGAGGTGAACTCCACACAGGTGAGGAGTCAGACGAACACGGCTCGTGTGGACGGATTACGGCCGGGCACCATGTACGTGATGCAGGTTCGCGCCAGGACGGTTGCCGGTTTCGGCAAATACAGCAGCAAAATGTGCTTCCAAACCCTCACAGATGGTACGAACCCCCACGCCAACGCCTGCCTGTGTTTGTGTGTGTGTTGTGTGTGTGTGTGCGCGGAGGCACTTTTTGGATCTGGGTGATCTCATTCCTTGAGCAGATTTATTTAGAGTTGTAGAAATAAATGTTCACTATTCCATTTTTATGCTCAGTAGATTTCCAAGTTTGACTGATCATCACTGTGTATCATAGACAGGTTGTGTGTGTGTGTGTGTGTGTATTTGACTGTTCTCCAGACAAACTGCTTAGTTCAATGATTTTTCATCAGGACCATGTGTGGCATTCAAGCTTTCCCAGAATGCTTAGCTCATTGATTAGAGCATGATGTGAATAATCATCTATCCATCTATCTGTCTGTCTGTCTGTCTGTCGATCGTTCTATCTATCTATCTATCTATCTATCTATCTATCTATCTATCTATCTATCTCGTTCTATCGTTCTATCTATCGTTCTATCTATCTATCTCGTTCTATCGTTCTATTTATCTATCTATTGTTCTATCTATCTATCTTGCTCTTTTTTTTATCATGCTTTGTTGTCTTATTTGTTCCTCCCAGCCAGCTTTCTCATTCTTTCTATCACTCTTTTCACTCTCTTTCTCTGTTTTTTTTTTCTTTCTTTTTTTCTCACTCACTCTCAGTGGAAGTGAGTGGATGTTTATTGTGTCTTTTGGCTCATTTCATTCATTAGTGGCACACAAACAAAATAAAAATTCCGTTTGTTTCATCTGTGGTGCATTTGATTGTTTTCAAACTTTAAAATGGACAACAAGAAACATGAATCTCTCTCTTTCTCTCTCTCCCTCAAACACACACACACACACACACACACACACACACACACGTAACCTCTGTCTCTCATTAAAACTCATTAATGTGTTTGATTAATGGCTCTGTATCTGTAGTCTAGCATGTCCTGCCTGATGACTGTGCCAGGGATACACACACACATTCCAGGGGGACTGGACTCTACAGGACAGAAAGTAATCCGCCAGGCAGCTGGCTATTTCATGGGGCTTCACACACAAACACGCACACTTTACCTGCCCAGCTCACTCACACATTCATTTTTTAGGCTTCATCTTTTACACAACCCTCCTTGTCTTTGCTGTCACACTGGTATAAATATAACTGAACTGCACTGGCAATCTGGGACAGACACACAAAGAGACACAGGTCTAATGTGTAAACATGGCCCTATTATTAGATGGTATGTTACATCTTTCTTTACTATAATACATGCATTTGTGATTTAGAGCTGCATTTATGCATGTTATCCAAAGTGACTTACATTGCATTCAAGGTATATGCTTTATCAGTTAATGCATTCTCTAAGAATCAAGCCCATGACCTTGGCATTGCTAGCACCATGCTTTACTGTTTGAGCTACAAGATATGCAGGATATTCATAAACAAAGCACACAAGTCAACTACGTAGTGAAATCGCATATACACACATGCATGCAACAAACTTGCAAATCAGGCATAAAAATGCACACAATCAAAATATGCATGGCTGATTTTTGTGTTTGTTTCATGCATTTGTATGTGATCTGCATGATTGATTTGTATGTTTCAGCTTTGAAGGTGGTTTTTTTTTGTTACATGTTTGTTTGTTTGTTTGTTTGTTTGTTTGTTTGTTTAGTGTGTGTGTGTGTGTGTGTGTTGCATGTTATGTTTGCTGTCTATGTATATGCAAGTTTGTGGCATGTGTGTACGGTATTTGTAATTTTAATGGTTGTTTTATATTTATGTTTTGTTGACTGCATGTGTGCTATTTGCATGATTATGTGTTTCAGTTTTGGATGTGTGTTGCATGTTCAGTGTGTGTGAATCTGCATAGCTGATTTGCTAATTTTTTTAATGCATCTGGGTGCGGTTTGCATGATTGATTGTTGCATATATGCTAGGTGAATGTGAGTATGTTGCATGTTTGGTGTATGTATTTGCATGGCATACACAAATATGTTGAATATGTGTTTGTGTATTTTTGATTTGTATGTTTGTTTTGTTCATTGCGTGCGTGATTTGCATAAATGATTTGTCTTTAAGTTTTGGTTGTTTGCATGTTGTGTGCATGTTCTGCAAGTTTGTTATGTTTGTTGAATGTTCAGTGTGTATTTGCATGGCTCATTTGTCTGTTTGTTGCATGGATGTGGTTATGATTTGTATGATTGATTTGTTTTATTTTCAGTTTTTGTTGCTTGCATGCATTGCATGTTGTGTATTTGCATGAATAGTATGAATGTGTTTGTATGCGATTTGAATGGTTTGTGTGCTTATCTGTCAAAGTGTGTTTGTCGCATGCATGTTGCAGGTTTTGGGTTTGTGTATTTGTAACGTATTCAAATCAATCATGCAAATCACACACATGCATGCAATACACACACAAATCAATCATGTAAATTCATGTCAGTATACATGCACTCAACAAACAAACAAACAGGCACGCACGCTTATACATACTCTTCATCAAGCAGTGTTGAAATATAGTATTGACCAACTCAAATTAAATGGAAAGTACAGACAGAGCACAATGATGTCACACTGATTAAGACAAATTTCTGCATGCGTGTGTGTGCAGGCGTAACCGTGCCGTCATACTTACTAAAGTAATTAGTGCCCGCGTTCACTCTGCACCAGCTAACGGGTACGTCCACTGGCATTCTGCCATGGCACGACATTCGTTACGACAATTCGCACCATTCATGGGGGAGAGAAGTCCACCTCACGCACACACACCTTCTCTAGAATCATAACACATGCTCTCCTTGGAGTCTGTCTCTTTCTCTCTTATTTTGACAGTCAGGTGTAATGACGAATAAATTATTCTGTTAAATGAGGTGTGTTTAAGCCCAGTACACACAGAGACTGCACTACTTCCCGTTGGCCATTATGGATTTAGCCAGCATGCTAAAAACGACCACGAGTGCAAATTATTATTATTATTATTATTATTATTATTATTATTATTTTATTTTATACATATTTATTTATTACAGTTTTATTGGAAAAGAAATAATCTAAAGGGGTTTAAATTACCCCAATTATTGGCAACAGGGTTGCAAAAATCAACCATTAAATAATAAAATATAATATTTAATTTGTTAATTCATACATTTGTACTAATTTATAACTTTTTTATTTAATTTTTGTTGGAAGAAAATAATCCAAAAGGTTTCAAGCTATCCCAATTGTTAGTAACCAGGTTGCAAAAATTGTATTAAATTATTACATATAAATTAAACTATTAATATTAAATATAATATAATAAAAACAAATCTCATATAATATTAAATTTGACCTCATTGTTTATTTTATGTAATTTTTATTGGATGAAAATAATCAAAAGAGGTTTAAAAGATCCCAATTGTTGGTTACAAGGTTGATAAAAATTAAATGTGTTATATATTAAATTATAAAAATGTAAATAATTCAATTAAACCATTAAATTAAATATAAAACAGTACAAGATAATAAAATTAAATCTCATATAATATTTAATTTGACCTCCTAAGATTGACTATCATCATAAGGGCTAAGCACATCCTTTCACTGACCACTGACTTTATTGTATTAAGAGTTTTCTATCCTTGTTAATTGATAGTGTCCTGTCAATTATTTTAGAAATTAAGCAATAAAACTTAGTATTTAAATATTTACTAAACAATTACCCAGTTCACTTGTTATTTATAAACCTTTGATTTTGTGTCATTAAATGTTAAGTCTCATGTTCTACCAAAACATTGTTCTGTCAAAGCTTACTGAAAATTCGTTATCTCCCGCAGGAAAACCCGCCATGTGAATATCCTGCTCTTCATGGGCTACACCACCAAACCCCAGCTGGCTATAGTTACACAGTGGTGTGAAGGCTCGAGTCTCTACCACCACCTGCACATCATCGAGACCAAGTTTGAGATGATCAAGCTGATTGACATTGCCCGTCAGACAGCTCAGGGCATGGAGTGAGAGACACTCAAAAGTTTTTAGAGAAAAATTACTATAGCAATGTAATGTTTAACAATAAAGAATCCATTTAGTCTTCTGGCTTGAATAGAAAGCGTGAAACCTGCTGCCATTATGATACTCAATTGCTCAGGTTATCATGCATGAATTTATTTATTATTTTATTTTATTTTTTTATTCTAGTGTGCTGTGACACACATATTTACACACAAATGCAAAGTTTTAATACACCTTCATTCACAAAACAAATGCATGTTATGTGTGGAAATTGTGAATTAAAATGAGTCGCGCTTGCTTTGCACTGGTTTAAACTGATCTAAACCAGTGTCTACTTGCAGTCCAGTTGGGACACCCTGTGCTGGTTATATTCGATTGTGTTACGCTGTTTCTTCCCACGTTTGGCCTGTTTGGAGTGAAGTACACACTTTAGAATAACACAAAACAACCATAAACATGTTATGCATCCAATAAACATGCAACATATTAAAAAATGTTACTGCTACTGTTCAAAAGTTTGGGGTTGGTAAGATTTTTATTTTATATTTTATTTTATCCAAAATACAGGAAAAAATAATACTGTGAAATATTATTAATTTAAAATAACTGTTTTCTATTTTAATATATTGCAAAATATAGTGGTAGAAAGAAACATTCAAGAAAACGGTTGTGTTGCCTGATGTTTTTGTGGAAACTGTGAAGCATTTTTCAAGATTCTTTGGTGAATAAAAAGTTCAAAAGAAAGGAATTTATTACAGCAATGTAAATGTCCTTCCCGTTACTTTTAAATTACGTTACCAATTTAATGCATCTTTTCTGAGAAACAAAAAAGAAAACTAAAAATGTTTTTGAACAGTAGTGTGCATAATGCAAGTTTACTTAGAATGCAATGAAGTCATAAGTCTGTCAAGTAATGATGTATATCAGTCTTTTTCACTCATGCTGCCTCTAGTTTCTTCCCCCCTAGCTTTCTCAGACACACTTTCTCTCTAATTCTTCTATGTTTACATAGCTTTGTGATGCTAGCCACATTTTTTTAGTTTGCAATTTAGCTGCTTAAAATTATGAGTAGCTTGTAGCTTAGCATGCTAGGATCTCAAAGTAGCTTCTTCAAACCACACGAATGTTTGTTCTCCTGGATGTGTGTGAGCAAGTCGAGGGTTTGTTTGTATTTGACCATCGATAAAGGCCATTCCATTCTCTTCTTTGTTGTTTTTAGACTGTGACGGCAGGATTAGCCGTGCTGATGGACCGCACACATCACTCACACACACTTCACTAGTCGCTGTCTTTCGGCTGTGTACCTTAAGTGTTTTTCCTGTCTGTCCTTTTCCATCGCTCTTTCTCAGTTGACATCTGTCAGCGCTAGGCATTAGTATTACCTGACCACCGTGATTCAGCGCTTCCTTTTGTATCATTGGTATCACTCTATTAGCCCTCTCTCTTTCACCCATCTCTTCCATTTCATTCAAAGCTCACACCTCCTCACAGTTCTTAAATCTATATTCTTCCCTTTTTCCATACGTCTTTGTGACCGCCGCCCCCCGCCC